TGTCCCCAGCCACAGCTCACCTCAGCTTCCTCAACATGAGCCAGGCCCAGTTCTGTGTCCCCCAAAAGCAGGGAACACCAGTCAGCCCTCTCATCTCCCTCCTCAGGCACGTCCCCACTAGGAGGAGGAACTGTGAAAGGGACTCACAGCATGAGAAAGAAACCTCTTCTCAGACCCTCTCTCCTCTCCACCCTGACCCCTTTTTACCTCCTCGATGTGACTCCAGAGCCCAAAAGTCAAGGACCAGGTCCTCACCCATTTCCTCTGCACGCCATGTCTCTTCTGTCGTGAAATATCACTTTTGACATCCTGTCACAAGGGCAATTGCTTAGTCGTAAAAAATAAAAATAAAATCCTGCCTTGTTGTCCCTGGACACACCCATCTGAGCTACAGCAGTCAGTTCTGGGTCCCACATCTTAAACCAACTGCAGCCCCTGAAGACGCGCTCAGAACGGCCAGGACTGAGAAGAAACTCACAATCAAAAGAGCTGAAAACACTGAAAAAATGGTTAAAAGTAAAGTCGATCTTTAACAAAGCCTAAGCATGACCTTTAAATATCTGAAGGGCTGAGCAGGGGAACCGGACGACTTGCCCACCCAGGAGGTACAGTGGGTAGAAGTCATACCGAGGTCGCTTAGCTGATTATCTGTAAGGAGGACCTTCTCAGTTGGCAGAGCAGTCCAAACATCCAGTGGGCTTTCTCAGGCTCCGAGGAGACCCCTCCTCACAAGTCAAGCATGGCTGCGTGTCCCCATGGCAGGAGTTCAGAAAGGCCTCCTGAAGTGGCTTCTTGGTTAAAGTAAACAGCCTTTAAAGTCTTTCTGATTTTTGAGGACCTCCAATTCGTCTTGAAAGATGTCCACCTTTAGTCTCTGACTAACTGTAGGGTCATATGTAACATTTTTTCTAGACATTTTGAAATTTGCTTTCCGTGTGCCTTTTGCATTTTATTAATTCTAACACATTTTTTTTAAACTACGTTTTAACATCTCTGAGATCACGGAGCCTCTTATCATTGCCTGTGGTAGTTTTCATTGCTTACAGGAGCGTAAACATTCAAGTGTCAGCGTCACAATTTACAGCATTCGTGTGAGCAGCTTGGAAGAAACTTCGACAGACAACCAACAGTGACACAGTGGTGAGATGTAGGGAGAGGGGGTGGGGGGCCGATGTGTTTAGCAACATTCCCAAAGCAGAAGTCAAAAGTAAGCTAGCTCCAGATAACCGCAAAGCCAGCTTAAACATCTGGCAACAATGGCTGTCGCTCTGGTTACAGCTTCTTTTCAAACACTAACCCATCTTACTGATGTCCATTGTAGGAAAGACCCTACGAGAGAAAACTCGGGCACTGATAAATCTGAGCCAAAAAGTGATTCAGAAAAGTCCGATTCTGAAAGGGAAGAAGTTTTAGGAATACCTTACCCAGGTTAATTCCTTATATTTTCCCTTTTATGACTATGTAAACGAGATTTGTGGTTTTTAAAAATTCTATCTCTGACTAAGCCTGGAAGACATTGTGTGGCTACCTAGTCATGCTTTTTTCTTCTCAGCGTTCTCTGCAACGGTGCATCCTGCAACCCTAACAAGGAAGAAACAGAACCTCAGAGACAGTGTCCTGCGCAAGCCTGCACAGCTGGTAAGCAGTAAAGGTGACACTGGAGCCCAGGTCTATTAACTCCTGCCACCTCTAGGTCCAACGCGGCTCAGCTTGGCTGTTACAGCTTCGGCTGCATGGGGCATGCTCACTGTGGAGAGATGGGACAACGGTCACCTCCCACGTCCCCATGATGAGATTGGCGCCTCTCAACTGAAAGACTAACGTGGATGGTACCATGCCTCAGCCTCAGATGGCAGCTGCACACTGACTGCTATGAACAGGATGCCAAGCACTGAGACCAATGGTCTTTGCAGGTGTAGTGACTGGGGAACAATCTAAGCCGCTACAGACAGCTGCAGTACATGCTGAAAACTTGGTGATGTTGGATAATCTGGCTTAGAATAAGAGCTCTATTGGCCAAAGTCAGCGTTTAATAAGGAATTGTAGTCAGGAGTGCATTTCCCCTTGTTAACTGCGGAGCAGCTGGCCAGGAATTCAGAAGGATGAGTTAGCACTGCAACGTGGCAGGGCAGGGTGGAGGCGGGGCTGGGGCTTGACAAGGTTGTCATGCCACCAGGATCCAGTGGGGGGCGCTCAGCAGTGGATGAAGTGTCAAGAGGCTCCCTGGTTTAATTGAGGTGCTCTCCTGAGGACTTGCTGGAAACCAGCTCTCTCCTGTGTAATTAGCAGAAGTGCACATTGGTTCAATCACTTTGAAGGGTAATTTGACAACATCTATTAAACTAAAAAGACTCATATCCTCTGATTCAGCAATTCTACTTCTAGGAGTTTATCCCACAGATACATTCACATACATACATATGAATATTATAGGCATAAGAATATTCATTGCAGCATGATTTGAAACAGCAAAGGCTTAGAAACAATGGCATCTCCATCAATAGGGACTGGCAGATGTCATCTGTCCAGGAAGTGATCTCTGAACCCCCACGTTGGGCTTGGGGCCCTTCCTCTGTGCTTCTAAGCACCTCAGCACCCCTGTCTTAAACCTTCTAGTAACGAGAGAAGCTGCTTATGTGTCTGTCGCTCCCTCAGGAGGCCCCCACAGGAGAAGAGGCACAGAGGCATGGGACAGGCTGTGTACTGGGGAGGGCAGGGGGCAGCGTGGCTGCAGTTCAGGCCGGTGGGTTCTCTGTGCCATGAAAGGGAGCCTGGACTTGATCCTAGAGGACTGACCCAACCTCCTGGGGGAAAATGTCCTAAGTGCAGAACTCACACAGCCCCCTCTTCCCATAGAGTATAGTCGAGATGAGAAACTGAGGCCTCCAGAGCACACACGAGGGAGTGACGCAGACCAAATGGGACTTGCGCAGCCCTCTCTGGCGGAGGGCACTGGGGTCCTGCCTGCTGTCTGGTGCGCCCACCCTCAGCTTTGGGGTCGGAGGCACAAGTGATCGGTAGAGAAGTAGGCAGAAGCAGCTTCCTCCCGGTTCCCCTTGCTACTGGGCAGTGAGCCCAAGCCCCTTCTCAGCAGCCTGGGCCAGCTAGCCTTCTGTTTCCTGAGTGCGTGCTGCAGCCACAAACTGAAGCTGGGGGAGGACCCTTTCCCCCAGAGGAGCAGGGCCAGCAAGTTCCCCGCCTGAAGTTTCCTGGTATTTCCTCAGGGCAGGCTGTCCTGGGAGGTCGTAACCTGTGAGAGCTGCAGACATAAAACAGCAGGGTCTAGAGAACATAAAAGACCATATTCTTTCTCTCTCTCTCTCTCTCTCTCTCTCTCTCTCTCTCTCTCTCTCTCTCTCTCTCACACACACACACACACACACACACACACACACACAC